ATTGTTTCTTTTCGAAAGTATTCAGATAATTAGTTACTGAATTTTTAGGTGTTTTTTTACGTCATAACTACAGCAATATTCGAAACATGCATTCGATGGAACAAGAGCTTTCGAATAGATATTTTTTTTTATTTCAGCCATACACGACATGAACGTGAAGATGTTGTAGGTGGATGTGTAGGATGGTTAGGTGGGTTGGTATGTTGATGGGCGGAATGGTATAATGATAGGTGGGTTGGTGTGTTGATGGGGTGGCACTACGATGGATGGGGTGAAGTGTTGATGGGTTGGATGGTTTGGATGGGTTGGATGGGTTGGATGGTATGTTGATTGTTGGGATAGTATGTTGATGTGGGTATATTGATGAATGGGATGCTATGTTGATTTTTTGAGTAGTTTCCTTTCAAAAATATTTTTTTTTATTATTTCGAACACGGAATAATGAACTCAATTTGTATTGACTGTAGTGGCTTAAACAACTAGAGAGTTCTAAGAACTAATGCCTCCAACTGACGTCACCAGAGCTATGAATAAAATGAGTTTTGGGGGTAAGTTTTTGTTTTGTATTATTGTTAGTGTTTATTGTAGGACATCTAAATGTTGTGGATATGGAAACGATTATGTGTTCATTGAACACCAGAACACAACGGTACAAACACAAAAACACAACGGTACAAAACGCTGTGTCCTTCCCACGAGAATATGAAGCTACAACACTTTTTCTCATGAATATCAAGAACGGCAAGCCAATGTTGATGCTCTCCCTTGACGCCCTACCCCCATGACAACCACCTCGGGAACATATGGTGGGCGTGTCTCTTGTTTTAGAGAACATCGCTGATGTGTATAGGCCGGCACCCGGCTACTCTCGTGTGTGATGTTGTGGTACTGGGGTCGTGATGGTGTGGTACTGGGGTCGTGATGGTGTGGTACTGGGGTCGTGATGTTGTGGTACTGGGGTCGTGATGTTGTGGTACTAGGGTCGTGATGGTGTGGTACTGGGGTCGTGATGGTGTGGTACTGGGGTCATGATGGTGTGGTACTGGGGTCGTGATGGTGTGGTACTGGGGTCGTGATGGTGTGGTACTGGGGTCGTGATGGTGTGGTACTGGGGTCGTGATGGTGTGGTACTAGGGTCGTGATGGTGTGGTACTAGGGTCGTGATGGTGTGGTACTGGGGTCATACATTCCTGACAATATAGACAGTACAAAGCCATGTAGTCAAGTCATAACGGCCATACAGTCAAAGTTATTACGGTCATACAGTCAAAGTAATCACAACCATAAGTCAAATTCATCACAACTATAAGTCAGTCATCACGGCCATAAGTCAAAGTCATCACGGCCATAAGTCAAAGTCATCACGGCCATAAGTCAAAGTCATCACGGCCATAAGTCAAAGTCATCACGGCCATAAGTCAAAGTCATCACGGCCATAAGTCAAATTCATCACAACTATAAGTCAGTCATCACGGCCATAAGTCAAAGTCATCACGGCCATAAGTCAAAGTCATCACGGCCATAAGTCAAAGTCATCACGGCCATAAGTCAAAGTCATCACGGCCATATCATCAGTCATCACGATCAAACAGTCAAAGCACCAAGTCTTGCAGTCAACATCGCCCCGTAGCTATTTAGTCAAAGCACCAACTCTTACAGTCGACATCGCTCCACGGCTATTTAGTCAAAGCACCAGCGCATACATCAGCGACATCCCAGTCAACAGCTTGTATCCTGGTCATAAGCTCACACGAAAAACTAAAAAAATGTCTGGGGTATTAGCAACATTTGCATAATTGCCCCTCATTTGCATGCGAATGATATCCCGGGTAAAGTCCCTTCTGGTCGGTAATGACTGTCGCCCCCCCCCCCCCACCACCCGCGCCCCAGCTGGGGAAGACGATCTGGAAGCCAGGAATCTAACAGGAGTTTACAATTACTCGACTGCGGGCTGGAAATATGACGGCCGCGCGAAGGCCCACGTTTAATTTGGCGGTCCTGTTGCCTTCATTTGTCTCAGACACATCGAACGACGCCGGCATTGCAAAAGCTACTCCTCCGTGAAAGTAGTTTTTTAAGGTATCCCCGGAGATCCAATGGTGTTGGGTGGTGTTTGGTGGTGTTTGGTGGTGTTTGGTGTTTGCTGGTGTTTGTAGCAATGGCTGCTGGGAAAATGTGTGGGAGGGGGGAGGAAGAAAAAGTACGACCCGGATACCGTCATTGGTAACGATAAATGCTCATTTAAAAGTCTTAGGTCGAACTTCCGTGTCTTGTCTCCCGGCTTGGATTGGTTGGTGTTAAATGTCGTTTTTTTTTTATCTGGAGAGTTCCACGTTTTGAAATAAATGTCGGACACGTTTTTGGCAGGTTTCTTCATACACCAGAGTTCAAAGTTCACGATGACGTAGAAGTAAAGAATTTCAAAATGAAAATGTCTTGCGTGGCCTAATTTTATGGATATTGGAGAAGCTTCATAAAAATGAGATTTTGTTTTTTAAAACTGCGGAAAAAAAATTTGAAGCCACAAAATGAAGTATACATGTAGGTGTCTAGCAGGATGTAGAATGTAAAGAGGTGTATGACGGGAAGGAATCATCAAGTCTAAACATTAGTGATGTCAATAGTTGGAGTTGTGTCCCGACTACGTTTTGAGTTTATGAACATTCAATATCAGGGGAAATATCTCAGGGGACTAGTGCCACAAGAACGACAACTCCTGTACTACAAATTACTACATTACACACAAGAATTAAAGTATTTTGTATCTTCGTTTTCAAACACTGAGGTACTAGTTCCATCTGATTTTAGAACATGGAACTTGCCACGATGCTGAGTCGTACCTGAATCGTGACCACGTGACATGAAAAGGTCACTGACCTCAGTACACTAATGTCTAGATCTATCCCGTATCCCACTATCAATTTTCGACCTTTTATTCAAATGGACAATTGAAAACCTATCTAAAGCAAGATCTATTGGTATTCCCAGTGGCTTACCCTAACCGTCAGATTAACCAGGACATTCCACATAAGATGGATTACGTTCTAGAGAAGAATCCTACAGAGACTTAAAGATGTTAGCTATAAGACTGGTCAGCATGAAGAAATTAGACGACGCTCCCAAACTACGGGCTACTGCTTGTATTTAAAACGTTTAATGGTTAATCCATCCTGTATATTGTCTTGTTCGTTTCTCTCAATTCGTGTCTACTATCCTGTTTACAGCTGTCTTGAAATGTAAACAAAGATATTTACAAAAACTTTCAGCCAATCGCTGAACGATGTGTTACTCTCTTAAACCGTCCCTCCCCCTCCCCCACTGCTAATGTTAAATGATTAAATTGTTTTGCTGGACCTAGAAGAATTCGAACCGTCAGTTAGTGCTGTGAGATGAAATAAGTAGTTTTAAATCTACACACGTTTGATCCTAGGGGATTGCTGGGGTTGGGGAGGTAGTACAGTATGTTGGGTGTGGGTGGTGGGGGGAGGGGCTGACTAATATTCTAGGTGTGGTGGGGTAGGGGGCTGACGTGGGTGCGGGGGGGGGGGGGGGTAGCGGGGGATGACATATTCTGGGTGTGTGTGGGGGTAGGGGGGGCTCATATTCTGGGTGTGTGTTAGTGGGTCCTACATAGGCGTTTTTTGTGTTTTCCTAAGGGTGTAGTGAGGGGGGGTGGGGGGGTGGTTGGGGTGTAAAGGTGTGTATAAAGTTGTGGGTTGTTAAGATGTATGTAAAGGTGTGTGGAGATGTGTGGACTGAGGTAAAGGCGTGTAGGTGGGTCATATGTTTGTATAATATTAGCTCAAGCTAAGAACGCATTATTTTTACATTGTATCAACAACCCAGGAATTAAACCCTACGTTATAGTTCTTGTTCTTTCTAAGACAACAAACATGTGGTTGTTGCATCTATTAATAACATAACGGACCACGCACACCAACCACATAATCACATACAATTACAACTCTTGCCCTTTGTTTACGTATGTCAAATCATGTACAGCGAGTTTTGAAGAGCGCTTCTAATTAGTGTCATTTGCTTAATTATGAACGTCATTAATGAGACGTTTCGACACAACATGTTTCAGGCATATCAATTTCTGTTCATTTCCAACTTTACAACAGACGAAAGCAGGAACCGCCGTTATATCAAACTGCTGGTGCAAACGGCCATCCCCCCCCCCAACCCCCACCTTTGAGTTTATCGTATTGGGGACTTTTGGTGCTTGTATATTTCGATGAGTAGCGCTAGGATGGAAGACTGGGGTAGTGAATGGAAAACGGTGGAGACTATAAAAAGTTTTGAGAAAATTCGTATGTGAGAAGCACAGATCAGGCTCAATAGAGAGCGTCGACACGCTGATACCAGTGGAGAAATCAGGGAAATAGTTTCAGGTAGAAATCAGGGAAATAGTTTCAGGGAGAAACTATTTGTTAAAGACCAAAGTGTGTTGAAAGTACGATCACCTACCATTGTAGGATAATGAGTACGATAATGGTTAGGATGATGTTGATGGGGAAACTAACCTACTTTGCTGGCCAATGTAAAACTAATGTACCGCGAGTTTATTCAAGGGCAGGTAACTAGTAACATGCTGGATGTGAAATCTACATGATTAACAGATCAAAGCCCACAAGATATATTCTCTTTTTGAAATTGAATTCTGGTTGAACGATTTGCTTAGCAGTGTTATAGGAGATCATAGGATTTCTGTTTTAATGTGTTTCTAAACAAGTCGAGTTGACTGCTAGTAGATCTAACGCAGGGGTACCTGGTCTTACATATCATCTTTTTGTGTATCTCATTCAACTGTCGTGGGGGGGGGGGCTTACACCGTATAAATAGAGCTATATTGGCATAGGAAGATTTGGACACGATTGCGTGATGATTGTGTCATGATTGTGTGGTGATTGTGTGGGAGTTGTATTGTAATAAAAGCAATGCTATGAAATGAATGAGTAACTACCGTGTAAAGCTGCAGTAACAATGGCGCTACTTACCTTACAGAAGGTGTAAAAATCCTGCTTCCTGTAGGGGTCGAGCCCGATCCCAATCGTCTGCCCGTGCAGGATCCCATCATCATGCCAGGGGGAGCCACCGCTGGCCAATTGTTTTTTAAAAGTCCCGTCATTTCCGGTTTTAGTAACATCCGGTTGCGTGTCTGGCGTGTAGCTCCCCCCTAGCCCCCTCTCCTCCTCCTCCTTCATGTCCATGTCAATGTCCGAACCCCTCCAGGCGATCACCTTCTCCACCTCCCCCTTCCCTCCCTCCTCCTGGATCCCCGTCTTCACCACCTGCCAGTCGGGGTGTTTCTCCGGGGGAGGGGACGGGCGGCGGTTGTTACCCCGGCGGATGATGAAAATGATGACGAGAATGACGATAGAGAACAGCAGAGTGGCGCCCGCGACGATGCCGGCAATAAGGATGTACTTATCCTCCACGGCCTTGTCGTTTAGCGCGGCGAAGGTGGCGTTGGTCAAGTCGATGATGACCTCTAGGTAGGCCTGACTCTCCCTGTGCTCCACCCCCCGGTCGTGTGCCGCCACCATCAGCCTGTGGACGTGGTCGTCCGACGACTTGACCCGCCGCTGGAGGTACAGGATGCCGGACTGCTCCTCTATGGCGAACAGGTCGCCCTTGTTGCCGGAGTAGATGAAGTAGGAGATGGTCCGGTTCTCGCCGAGATCCTCGTCCGTCGCGTTAACCCGCGTGATCTCGCGATTCGGCGGGAGTGACCACAAAAACGAGACGGTCTGGTTTTTCTGGGTGGGGAAGTGGAACACGGGGGCGTGGTCGTTGACGTCCTCTACGATGACAGTGACGATTCCAGACTTTTTCTTGGGCTCCACCCCCCGGTCCCTGACCTCGAGGTGCAGGGTGTACCGGTCCCGTTTCTCACGGTCCAGTTCCGGAATGGCGAAGACGGTGCCGTCAGGGTCCACACGGAAAGTCTGGCCGCTGACGTCATCGGTGGGCGGCATGGAGAAGACCAGCTTGGAGTTGAGACCAGAGTCCTTGTCTGAGCCGTCCAGCTTGCCGATCCGCTTCATCGTCCCGCCCCCCTCGGGCACTCGCAGCTCGCGTGTGGTGATCTCGGGGTAGTTGTCGTTGATGTCCTGTTGGTCAAAGAACACATAGTCATTAGCAGGTCAAATATAATGATTAGTAGGTCGAATATAGTCATTAGCAGGTCAAATATAAACTTAAACAGATGTAACACAATCATTATCAGGTATAACGTAATCATAGGCAGGTAAAATATAATCATAAACAGGTAGGGCCTATATCACAATCATTTCAGGGTATAAAACAGTCGTCACCAAACTTTAACCCAATCAAGAACACAATTATCCTTAGGGTATAATAACTTCATAGTCAATCTATAACACGTATCTATATTATTCAACAACATTTTTTCTGTAAAATTTAAATGCAAGTTACATTCTTAAAATATTCATAACTCAGAACTAATCAGCCAATGCCTATCGACTGATCTGTAGGCGATTCGCTTTTACGCAATTTTAAATTTTAAATGGTGTATATTTTTTAAATAAAAAACAGAATTCCGAAGGCGTTGGATGAATCATAAAAAAAAACCGGTTTAACCATTACAAGAAAACAGGTCAGTTGTGCTTGACCGATGATACGTCAAGCGCATGTCTGGAGATTTCATTAGCTGCCCCTAATGTTTACCCTGTACTTTCATGTCTGGTGATGTCATTAGCCACCCCTCATGTTAACCCTGTACTTTCAGCCTTGATACATTCAGAATTAATTCAGTGGAGATTTCCTTCTTCCAGATATTGACTTTATTGTGTCGGATACTAATTATCTATTCAATATTCATTAGATGACTCAGGAAAACTTTAACATTAGTAGAAGATAAATATTAACATCCACAGAATATGGACAAGAAATCTTTAAATGAATGCTGCTTATGAAAATTACTTATGATACGAAAACTGACCAAAACTAAAACCTCTACTAACGCATATGACGACCGCAACTAAAATCTCTACTCATCAATATATTTAACAACAACTTAACGCTCTACTCTCAAATATGTTGACCACAACACAATGTTATACTGACCAATATGTTGACCACAATTAAATGTTATACTCACCAATATGCTGACCCGTACTTAACTGTCTACTCATGAAATTGTTGACCCCCATTACACGTTGTACTAACAAATATATTGACCCCAACTTATACCTCCACTGACTAGTATGTTAACCTCCCCCAACTTAATATATGTTGACCACCACCACCCATAACTTAACCTAGTACTCACCAGTATGCAGTATGTTGACCCCCCCCCAACATAAAGTTGTACTCATCAGTATATTGACCACCCCCCTCCCAACTAAACGGTGTACTCACCAGTATGTTGACCCTCCCCCCCCCCCCCACTAAACGGTCTACTCACCAATATATTGACCACCACCGTTGCCGTGCTGACCAGCGCTGGCTGACCCTCGTCTGTAGCTATGACGATGACGTTGAGCCGCTTCTCCACCTCGTGGTCAAACGTGGTCCTGGCCTTGAGGATCCCGCTCTCCCTGTCGATGGAGAAGACGGTGTTCTCCTTGGGGAAGAGGGAGTACGTGAAGACTTTGTTGATGCCAGCATCCGGGTCGTCAGCCGTCAGCTGAGAAAGTTAAAACATGGAGCAGAATTTTAACAAAACGAAACAAGTTGAAACACGCACTAAGAAATATCTGCAATACAGTGGTTTTAAAATTGATAATGGACGTGAGATACACGCACTAAGAAATATCTACAATACAGTGGGTTTAAAATTGATAAAGGACGTGATACAGGCTGATACACGCACTAAGAAATATCTGTAATACAGTGGTTTTAAAATTGATAATGGACGTGAGATACACGCACTAAGAAATATCTGCAATACAGTGGTTTCAAAATTGATAAAGGACGTGATACAGGCTGATACACGCACTAAGAAATATCTGTAATACAGTGGTTTTAAAAATTGATAAAAGGACGTGACTCCAGTGGGTTTCTAAAGGAAATTATTCATCAGATCTCGAGGCTGTTCTGTCGACAGGTAATGACACGAAAATGACCAGAACGCCAATAGAGTCGAGTCACGCAACTACAACCACATCTTGGAGCCTGCTCAATTAGTTTCACATTATCTATGCAATTGTTTCAAGTAAAGAATGTTTTTCATTGTTAACTATCTGCACTCGTATGAGTCTGTTTGTTGAGTTTCGATCCGGTGATGTTTGAGATATTACTTTTGTCCACATTCTGGAGCTCGTGGTGTGGTATTTCTACATCGCCCCCCCCCCCCCCCCCCCCCTAGCCCGGGTGTCACTGAACTTAGCTCGTGAACAACACAATCCTGCCTGTCAAAAGTCTTACCTTTAAAATCTGTCAACAAAAGTCTTACGTATAAATCTGCCTGCCAAAAGTCTTACCTTTAAAGTCTGCCCGCCAAAAGTCTTACCTTTAAAATCTGCCTGCCAAAAGTCTTACCTTTAAAATCTGCCTGCCAACAAAAGTCTTACCAAAAGTCTTACCAAAAGTCTAAACTTTTAAAATCTGCCTGCCAACAAAAGTCTAACCAAAAGTCTTACCAAAAGTCTTACCAAAAGTCTTACCTTTAAAATCTTACCAAAAGTCTTACCTGTAAAGTCTGCCTGCCAAAAGTCTTACCTTTAAAATCTGCTTGCCGATGACGTTCTCCTCCGTGATGTTGACGACGTATGTCGTCTGGCTGAAGGACGGCGGGTTGTCGTTGATGTCTGAGATGACGACCTTGAACGTGATGGATGACGTCTTGGGCGGCGACCCCTTGTCGTTGCAGACGAGCTTGACGTCAATTTTGTCCGCCTGCTCGCGGTCGAGGGAGCCATTCATGATGATAGCGTAGTAGTCGCCGAAATTCTCCGTCTTGAAGCAGGGGTGAGCTGACCTACAGACGACCTCACCACTGGCGCCAGGGTCGTTGTCCGTGGCCTTGACATTCAAACAAAACAGCTGATATTGATCGGGTATTATGCAGTTTTTTTTAAAAGGCATTAATCGATCAGGTATAAAACAAATACTAAAATGGCTGAAACACTTATAACACTGGCTTGACGCTGCTAGAAATTAAATGTGTATCAAACAAATATTTGTGAAGGCTATTCAACAAATCGGTATTGTACGTGTATGAAATATCTCAAATTGATTTCCAAGTGACAAGTGTTTTTAATGTATGATAAAAAAGTGAAGTGGAAAACGAACAAGTAGGCTACACAACGCGGTGAGTGATACTCATGGTGTGTTTTTTTGCTTGAGCGAATGTTTATATGTACGTTTGTGAGAATATTATGTAAACGTATGCTCTTGTATATGTGTGTATTTTTGTGTACTGCTGTGTGTTTGTGTAAGTTTGTGTTTACTTATTGTGTTAAAGCGTGTCTAATTATAAAAGTTATTGTATGTTTGCCAGAAGCTAAACGTTAAGAAGCCGGACTGCCGGACTACCGGTCTGCCGGGCGCCACTCACGGTCAACTTGCCGACGAAGGTGCTGTTCTTGGCGCCCTCCGAGATGATGACCGTCTCCTCGTCCAGCGTCTTCTGTAGCTTGATCTCCAGGCGGGGGGCGTTGTTGCCCACGTTCACGATGGTCAAGGTCAGCTTGGCCTCAGCTATCCGGGGGTTGTCGCCCCTGTCCCGGGCCTCCACCACGGCCTCGAATGTCTTACCCGCGTCATACTGGCAACATCAGATTAGGACAGATTAACGCCAGATTAAGGAAAGATTAATGAAATATTAACACTACATTAGGACATATTAACGATAGATTAACACTAGGTTAACGCCAGATTAACGCCAGATTAACGCCAGATTAATATTAGATTAACGCCAGATTAACATCAGATTAATGAAAGATTAGGACAGATTAACACCAGACTAGGACCACAGTAACGCCAGATTAATATCAGATTAACGCAAGATTAATACCAAGTTTATATTAGATTAGGACCAGATTAGATTAGGACCATATTAACGCCAGATTAACGCCAGATTAACACCAGATTAAGACCAGATTAGGACAAATTAACACCAGACTAGCACCAGACTAACACCAGATTAGCACTAGAATAGGAGCAGATAAGCACACGACTACAAAGCAGATAAGAAGATTAGCATTTAGCGATCGAACTATCGATTTATAAAAAATTGTCAGATTTTTTTTCTATTCACTGACGGCAAAACGAACCAAACTAATCTTGCTCTAAAACTGATGACATAATACCTTACCTGTAGTGGTGACTTGATGGTGATTTCACCTGTGAATGGGTCGATGGTGAACAGTTCACGCGCGCGTGAGTCGCGTGCGGCCAATATCATCGTGTACCTGGAAACGGTTTTAAAAAGTGTGAGCAAATATTTACACCTGTTCCCACCAACGGCTGTAACCGTTTCCATTTGTTTGTTTGTGTTCTCGTCCGGTGATGATGTGTTCAAAATTGGTTAATGGACGCCGGGTTCATTAGTGGCCAAAACATTGATAACAAATATGGCAGCAGACATGTTTTTAATGGTGCTATTTCTATGGTTGTGTTTTTTTTCTTTCTATTTTTTTTTAGACGTGTAGTTGACAGACAACTGGTTCGAACAGCCAAGGCCTGCTCACCTTACACGTGAGAGACGTGTGTTAGCACCGTACACGTGAGAGACGTGTGTTAGCACCGTACACGTGAGAGACGTGTGTTAGCACCGTACACGTGAGAGACGTGTTTTAGCACCTATCACGTGAGAGACGTGTGTTAGCACCTACCATGTGAGTACGTCAAACAGGCAGCTCGTGAGTACGTACCTTATTTCGCTGTTTTTCCCATAATCCTTATCGGTGGCCGTGACCTTCCCCACGACGTCGCCGACGCCGGCGGTCTCCACGACGCTGTAGGAGTAGTCTTGTTGGGTGAAGACGGGCGTGTTGTCGTTGACGTCGGTCACGTTGATGTGGACGGTCAGGGTACCTGGGGGCCAAGGACATGGGTCATTTAATAATGGGGGGGGGGGGGGGCAGAGACATGTGTGATGTAATCATGGGGGGTCATAGACATACGTGACGTCATCATGGTGGGGGTCAATGACTTATGTGTTGTCATCATTCAGACTGATAAATGCGTGACTTTTTTTTGAAAGGGTTAGACTAATATTTGACGTCTACATGGGGGTCACTTCAATGTGAAATGTCTACGTGGGGTCACTTAAATGTGAGACTTCTAAATGGAGTCACTTCAATGTGAGACTTCTAAATCGGGTCACTTCAATGTGAGACTTCTAAATGGAGTCACTTAAATGTGAGACTTCTAAATGGGGTCACTTCAATGTGAGACTTCTAAATGGGGTCACTTCAATGTGAGATGTCTACATGCGGTCACTTTAATGTGAGACTTCCAAATGGGGTCACTTAAATGTGAGATGTCTACATGACTGTAAATAGCAGCAGGAACACGACAACAAGACGTCACAAGCAACAAGGAAATGTATCACAAACGTTATACAAAACACGTCAAGAAAAGAAACGCTACAAGACTGGAAAACAACTCAGCCAATCGGAAACGATCGGAAGGAAACAGATTCAGGTTAAGAGCAAAACATCTTTCACGTATTTGCGACAGCTAACATAAGACGGTTGTCTTAACAAATCCTTTGACAAGTGTATTCATGTCCACGCTTTGTATTCAACAAAAATCAATCCATTTATGTTTTTTAAATGTCTGCCCATACATGTCAGTTTATCCACACATGAATTCATCTCAGCATTCGCTCCATGATGTCAACATTCCCAGTAGATATGCCAAAAGCGGTTCGTTAAGGAATTGTTGATCGAGATATTCAAAACAATTTCCAAACAGAATCGTATTGAACAATATTTTCACTACATTTCTGTGAAGTATGTTCATTGTGTATGTTAGTGTATGTAAGTTATATCTGTACGATGACATAGCCGATATCTAAAGCACGCGGTTGATAATCCGTTTGTCTCGCGATTGGTACCGATATAAGTCTTAGAGTCCTCCCATTCTTATGGTATGACATGAGCCTTAGCTGATGTCATTTCCCAGAATCCACATATCTCTGATGTCATGTCCCACAATCCACCTAACTGTGATGTCATAACCAACAGTCCACCTAGCTTTGGTGTCATGTGCTGAGCATAAAATCGATATTTAAGAAGAGATGAACTCTACTTGCTCTGCCAGAAACAGACTTCATTGCTGAAATGTATTTTTCCTTTACCTAACTTGATAGCTGAAAGTTTAAACACGTGTTTAATAAAAGAGATTTGAGTTCCATCTGTTGTTTTAAATGTACAATACTTTATCTGGTATCGTTTGTATATCGAAATAACGATACCACCTTACTCGCCCCGAGAGCGTGGGCTCGATTTGATTAATTGAAACACGAATTAATTAAGTCAAGCATCAAACTTTTAAATGGCCAACAGGTCTGGAAAAAACAAAAAGCCAACAATTTAAATAACATTAGGCTAAGCTGCGTGGGACGTAACGACTGTGAGGTCATCGTGACCTTCGCCACGGCGGCCATGTTGAATCAGGTCACTCACCTGTCATGGGCTGGGGTCCCCCGTCAGTGGCGGCGACCAACAGGGTGTAACGGTCCATCTTCTCACGGTCCAGCACGCCATTCACCACCAGCGACACACGGAACTTGGAGTTGAGCCGGCGCTCTACGTTCAGGGAAAACCTGCAAAGGGTAGGTTTATAGGTTGGGTCAGTGATGGAGGTTCAATGAAAACCTGCTAAGTTAGGGTAGGTTTATAGGTTGGGTCAGTGATGGAGGTTCAATGAAACCTTGAAAAGTTAGAGTAGGTTTATAGGTTGGGTCAGTGATGGAGGTTCAATGAAAACCTGCAACGTTAGAGTAGGTTTATAGGTTGGGTCAGTGATGGAGGTTTAATTAAAACCTGCAAAGTTAGGGTAGATTTATAGGTTGGGTCAGCGATGGAGGTTTAATTAAAACCTGCAAAGTTAGGGTAGATTTATAGGTTGGGTCAGCGATGGAGGTTCAATAAAAACCTGAAAGATAGAGTAGGTTTATAGGTTGGATCAGACCTATAGGTTCAATGAAAACCTGCAAAGTTAGGGTAGGTTTATAGGTTGGGTCAGTGATGGAGGTTCAATGAAAACCTGCAAAGTTAGGGTAGGTTTATAGGTTGGGTCAGTGATGGAGGTTCAATGAAAACCTGCAAAGTTAGGGTAGGTTTATAGGTTGGGTCAGTGATGGAGGTTCAATGAAAACCTGCAAAGTTAGGGTAGGTTTATAGGTTGGGTCAGTGATGGAGGTTCAATGAAAACCTGCAAAGTTAGGGTAGGTTTATAGGTGGGGTAAGTGATGGAGGTTCAATGAAAACCTGCAAAGTTAGGGTAGGTTTATAGGTTGGGTCAGAGGCGGAGGTTCAATGAAAACCTGCAAAGTTAGGGTAGGTTTATAGGTGGGGTGAGTGATGGAGGTTCAATGAAAACCTGCAAAGTTAGGGTAGGTTTATAGGTGGGGTAAGTGATGGAGGTTCAATGAAAACCTGCAAAGTTAGGGTAGGTTTATAGGTTGGGTCAGAGGCGGAGGTTCAATGAAAACCTGCAAAGTTAGGGTAGGTTTATAGGTGGGGTGAGTGATGGAGGTTCAATGAAAACCTGCAAAGTTAGGGTATGTTTATAGGTTGGGTCAGAGGTGGAGGTTCAATGAAAACCTGCAAAGTTAGGGTAGGTTTATAGATGGGGTGAGTGATGGAGGTTCTATGAAAACCTGCAAAGTTTGGGGTAGGTTTATAGGTGTGGTGAGTGATGGAGGTTCAATGAAAACCTGCAAAGTTAGGGTAGGTTTATAGGTTGGGTCAGAGGCGGAGGTTCAATGAAAACCTGCAAAGTTAGGGTAGGTTTATAGGTGGGGTGAGTGATGGAGGTTCAATGAAAACCTGCAAAGTTAGGGTAGGTTTATAGGTGGGGTAAGTGATGGAGGTTCAATGAAAACCTGCAAAGTTAGGGTAGGTTTATAGGTTGGGTCAGAGGCGGAGGTTCAATGAAAACCTGCAAAGTTAGGGTAGGTTTATAGGTGGGGTGAGTGATGGAGGTTCAATGAAAACCTGCAAAGTTAGGGTATGTTTATAGGTTGGGTCAGAGGTGGAGGTTCAATGAAAACCTGCAAAGTTAGGGTAGGTTTATAGATGGGGTGAGTGATGGAGGTTCTATGAAAACCTGCAAAGTTTGGGGTAGGTTTATAGGTGTGGTGAGTGATGGAGGTTCAATGAAAACCTGCATAAATTACAATTGCATAAAAGTTTTGAGTTGAGTCATCAGGACGTTTACAGAAAACCTGCAAAAATCAAAATAGATTTATAAAACTGCAAAATGATTTATTACAGGAGATTTGGAGAAAATCTCCAAAAATGACCACATGCTTGAAACATCGAGTTGATTCATAGCTAAAGGTTTATAGCCTGCGAAAACATTTCATGTTCACAAAAATTCCATGTTTACAAAAATTCCATATTCACAAAATCCAATGTTTACAAAATCCCATGTTCACAAAATTCCATATTCACAAAAACATGACTTCCCCATGTAGTTGCGAAACGTTGTTTTAAACTGTGAACTGCTGAATCTGAGACAGGGAAGTAACTCATAATGAAAAACAAAGGGCGAATACTGGAAGATTCATCTCGATGGAGATCAACACAACGAGAATAACCGCCAATTGGAAAACCATTTTTTTTCTGAAATCCCACTACACGCCACTCCGCTCACGGGATGAAAGACTAGAGTCGCCGTAGGTCAAAGGTCGATATTGCCTAGAGTTATAAATAGCATGATGATATACACTGAAAAACAAATGTTGCTATTTGTGTCTACACCTAATTTATAATCAGCGAGGTAGAAATTTGTGAGATCTATGAGCAAGCTATTGACAGAGAACTGTCTAATATAAACTGTGATTAGCTTCTCATTTCTAGGGTATGCTATAGTCAGACGACTGCCTGATGTAAACTGTGATTAGCGTTCTATATCTAGGGTGTGCTGTAAGATCTATGAGAAGGCTATAGACAGAACTATGATTAACCTCACGTATCTAAGGTATGAAGGAAGTTACCCCAGGCGATTTTTTACGTGAGTTTTGTTTGTTTATGTGTCATTTATTCAGGGCTTGGATTATACAGAGAGCTAGGTAACAGGTCGAAGGTCAAGGTCGTCGTTTTTGTTGCACTGAAACCAGGTTAAAAATACTGAGAGGGTCGGTGCCTTTTCTGGAGCAATTTGTTTTGTCACGGTAATTATGTCGACATGTCGTCCATTAGCCTAAATGGTTGAATTGTCTGGAATATTTTGATGAGAGAAATTACTGTTTTCACTGTTTTCAATTTTCTCATTATGTTTTTGTAGGCTACACATCACGACTGATGTGTGTAGTTGGGTACTTTTGTTGCAGAAAATGATTGAGTCTACCTAGAAGTTTTTAAAGTGAGTGACATAGTATTGAACGTGATTTCAATGTGTCGTTGTTGGATTATAAGTGTGTGGGGGAGGGGGAGGGAGGGGTTAAATTTGACTAGCTAACTCAGAGATTTTTACAGTCAATTAATTATGACAGACCAAGACTGCTATGACAGTTGAGTATGACAGACCAACACTGCTATGTCTGTCTCTGATCAGATCCACGGATGGTCCGGGTATTTAGATAGCCATGTCTAACGATTGTACAACGACTGAGCTAAACAAAAACATAACGGTAAACACGGATCAGAGATCCATGATATACAAGCTACTAACTTTGATGATGTAGCGAGTATATCATTCATTGAACTACAACATCAAGTATGGCTACTTAAAGCATTAAGTATGTTATTGTAGTGGTTGTGCAATCAATGACACAAAGAAAGATCACTACTTACAGTTCCGTGGGGTTCAGCAGTGTGTAATGTTGCACGGAGTTCTCGCCCATGTCTCGGTCAATGGCGGACGGCAGGGGCTTGGTCAGCCCTTCCGGGTTGTTCTCCGGAATGTCAAGGACGATCTCCTCCTTCTCGAAGGCGGGCGTGTTGTCGTTGATGTCCATGATGTTGATGGTCACCTCCACCAGACGCAGGAAGTCCGTGACGTCAGAGTTGACCGTGACGTCAAACTTGATCTGGCACTCAACCATATCGTCACAGATGTACTCCCGGTCGATGGTCGTCTGGGTGTAGAGCGTCCCCGAGCGACCGTTGATGGAGAAGAGGTGCGTGCCACGGTTGGAGGGGTCGAGAAACTCGAACCGGAGCGTGCTGAACTCGGCCGGCGACACCTGCTTGGCAATTGCCGTCTCGCCGGCAATGTTGCCCACGAACGTGCCGGTCTTCTGCTCCTCCTTCAGCGGCCCGAGGGTGATCTTCAGAGACTGGGCGTCGGTCCCAGACAACAACGTGAGAACCGCTGCGACAAACAGCACGGCAGACTGCTGTGTGAGCAGCCCGTGGCAACTGTACCCCATCCTGAATGGTCTCCCTACCACCACACGTATGTAAACTATTCCAAGATGCAGACAAGAATCACAAGTCACTCAAAGCACTTCCGGTACAGGCATGTCGGTATGACCTTGGTATCGTGTACGCTACTAGATATCCACACTACGCTACTAGATATCCACAATGTTCTCGACATCCGGACAACCTCGTTCTGAATTGTGCTGAATCACTCAGGTACCTAAAATAGAAGAAGAAATGGTTATGTTTTCTCTGCTGATTTTAAAATGCAAAGAACGATCAATGTTTCAGAAATCGTTCTAAGAAACATGTTATAGACAAACGTGTACATCTTCTGGGCCGTCCATACGTGACGTCACATCCTTTTTTTAAAGATGTCAACTCCCACCTCCCCACACTCCAGAATTGTGACGTCATTAATGGAAGACTCCTTTCACATTTTCGCCCTTATTAATCCTCCTCGGTGAGGGTAATTAACGAATTTATTTACTCGCGAGCCCAACAAACAGATACACCAACACACACACGCACACACTGTAGACAACACACACGCTTCGTTACGCTATATTCTGTTGCCATGGAAACGAACTCCAAACCGCGCCACCCAATGTTTACACTTCAGCCCCTTTCAATTATTAAACCCGAATTATTTCAACAAACATCACATTCAAAATCTGAACACATTTTTTTTAAAATAAAAAAAAATTGATTCCAAAATTCTAAGTGTTAATTAAAAGAAAATGTCGGTTCTATGTTTCTGGTGTATTATAAAGGGGAGAGAATTATCGCACCCGCGAAACGTATGTCTCGCGTCTGCGGGAAATAAAAACACGCAGACGCGAAAAGCATTATCATCCGGGACCTGGTTGGATTGGATCTGGATTGGATCTGGATTTCTTAATGGATTTAACACGTTCGTCACTCTCTGGGGGAAAATCGGAAAACCCTCTCCTGGGGAACACCCTCTCCTGAGGAACACCCTCTCCCACGGAGGTGGGGAGGGAGGAGGTGTGAAAGAGGTAAGCGTCGTCTGCTCGTTAATTAGACAATAAGGAAGATTTGTTAATTATTATTTCATGTCCAGGGGTCTAGCAGTGGAGGTCGGGGGGTGGGGGAGATTGGGAGGTGTGAAGGCATCGAATTCGTGTTAGCTTATATTGTAATTAAAAAATCAAATTAAGGTACAGAAGGTTCAAGTTTGAGGTGATTTTGTTTTTCAGATAGAGTGCGAAAATTAACACACACAAAAATAAGAAGAAAACATTTTTATTTTTAAGTGCGTGTACTCTGAAATTTAAAGTTATGGGTTCGAATCCTAGCTGTTAACCGCCACGCAACAGGCGCGCTTCCTCAGGCGTTACGTAATGCAATGCGACTGTCCTGTCCTTGAAAGGTCACGTGATCAACAGAAGCTCTGAGACTGTCTGAAACAGTAGAGCTGCCGACACAGGGGTTTCGTGGGGCACTGGATAAAAATAGAACATGTGACGTAGTAGGGTTTCCTGCGGCCTTTACAAAAATAGAAGTCGAAGGGTTTCCTGACGCCTAGGATAAAAAACATATGTGACGTAGTAGGGTGCCGAAAATAAACCAACGCAAAACCCTTCAATCTTTAATGAACACATTAGCTACTGCGTCACATAAGGGGAGGGGGCGTGGTCTTAGCAACCGAAAGTAAGAATTCTGCAATTCATCACATACTGAAGGATGTGTGTCTGGCTGTACCCGCGAATTGTGACAAAATATCACAATGTGACAGGTCCGACAAATATCACAACAAAATTATACTTTGTTTCTTTTTTAATGCTGTAAGCTACAGCTTAGGTTGGGTGGTGGTTTCTTGTAAAAGTAAGAATATAGATGCACACACTCTCATTATTTTATAAGAATTAAATTATAATATATATGTTGGCATATTATTTTAACATTATTTAGTACTATTTTAGCATATTATTTTAGCATATTATTTTAGCATATTATATTACTATATTGTTATAGCAAATTGGTTTTTGACGAATTATTTTATAATATTTTACATTATATTTAACACATTTTAGAAAAAAATTCGGTATAATATTTTAACATATTTTTAAAAATAATGTTATTAAATTATTTTAACATTATTTAAGCATATTTTCTAGCATACGTATTAATTTACAATATTTAACATTTTATTTAACATATTTTTAAAGATTGTGTCAGTATTTTATTTTAACATTATTCTAGCATATTTTCTAGCGTACTATTTTAGCCTATTACACAAAAATAAAATGATGTTCTGTGTTCATGAAAGTGTTCAGCTCCAGTAGCCAGAATGTTCATGATTTGTGAACTTCGCCTCTGGGCACTGAGAAGACAAAAAAACGGAGGAAGCACTTGAAATGCTTTGGTGTCTTTTTATGTCGGCGTTGGTCGTTATTTTCATCGTTTGATTGGATAGAGAGAAAGGATGACATGAAAAGAAAGCAGAGACTAGAAAATAATGTAAGTTAATAAACTCGCCGGACATTTTAATTCAATAAAACGTCTACAGGCGGAGGATTAAGGAGGATAATAAAATAGGCGGCGGCGGAAGACGGATTAATTAGAGGCTTAAACTACTAATGGCTTGCATTGTGGGTTGGGTGTCCGGATTAAACCTGCTGGTATAGATTAAAATTGTAATGCGTTATGGGGAGGTAATTTAAAGAGAAGTAATATAAGGGGAGGTAATTTTGTTCGGCAACTGGATCAGTACATTTTTAGCTGTGCTTTGTTGGTTATCTTATGTAAAGGAGGAAGTGGTAGGGTGGGGTATGTTGCTGTTGTCAGGAGTAGTGTGGGTAAATGTGGGGAAGATTAGTGTGGGGTGTGCGGTGTAGGTGGATTAGTGGTTGTGTGGAAAAGTGTGAAGTAGTGTGGGGGTAGGTTGGGTATATTGGGGTGGAATTTGGCAGTGTGGGGTAGAGTGGTGTAGACTGGGGAATGTTCGGGTGGGTTGGGTAGAGTGAGGTGGTGTGGGGTGGGGTGGTGTAGACTGGGGAATGTTGGGGTGGGTTGGGTAGAGTGAGGTGGTGTGGGGTGGGGTGGTGTAGACTGGGGAATGTTGGGGTGGGTTGAGTAGAGTGAGGTGGTGTGGGGTAGAGTGGGTGAGGTAGAGAGGGGTAGGTTGGGTACATTGAGGTTGACATAGTGTGGAGTAGAGTGAGTTGATGTGGGGTAGAGTGGTGTAGACTGGGGTTTGTAGGGTAGAGTGAGGTAGGGTGAGGCAGTGTGGGGGTGGGGTGGTATTGTGCTGCCTATCACCCCAACAACTCATTGCATGCCACCCCCTACAATAACCATCATAAGGTTGTCATCAAGAAGATACTCAAGAGACGCATCTCATGTTAAACAAAGGGCAGATCTAGACAAGATAGACATCTATATTGAGTACTTGACCTGTGATTGCTCTCTCGTTTCACAGCAACACACGCCTTGGGGTCAAGTGGCAGAAGGGAGGTAATAAATGTTTACACCCAAACGGTTATGCGCCCTTGATTTGGTGCCTTGCTTCGCTACACCGTTATCGTCACCCCATAAAGGTGTTCCTACCTCCCCCACCCCCCACCCCCCCCCCCCTCCCCACACACACACACAAACACACATATTATTGATAGATCGGGACCACCACACAAAAAAACAAAAACTTACACTACCAGTTCCTCATGGCACATTCTACGTCCACTAGTTTCTAATAGGGGCGAAGACTCTTCAAGACGTATTTAAGTAATTATTTAATTATTTTAATTACATAACATGTGATAAAAATACATTTTTAATTAACAAAATCTTAACCTTAATCAATAGAAACCTTTTTCAATTATATAAGCATTAATTTTCGGTAAATGGAATTTTTAAATAGTTCATGACATTAACCTTAAAATCACTCAAAGGGAAACTACTTACAATTGACCAACTTTCGAACCCGAGTTTGCTCGTAGTGCAAAAATTAAACATTAAATCAGGTACTGGAAAATCTCATATACTTGTTTTCTATAGTATTTCACAAGAACGCCAGCTTACAGAAGAACCTACCGTCTTCTCCAGCCAAATCCCCGGATGTAGAGATCGATAAACACAACTAGCCGGCCAACTGGACACCTGAACTGACCTTCTGATCCGGCCGTCGTGGCCAGAACCAACAGACCACAGTGATAATGAATTAATCAATAGCCGTTTGTTTTGGCCATCTTGTGGCCCCCACCCCCTCCCCCTGTAATGACGGTCACGTGCTAGATTCCAGGGGTTTCTTGGAGGCTATTTAAGCTCTGATAGAGAGATTAACGACTGGACGGTTCTCTTGCATGTTTAGACAGTGGATTGCTTTTTCTGTCTTTTTTTATCGCGAATAAAATAAATAGGGATGTGAGAAGTTGTGGTAGTGTACTAGTGGTTGGGACCTAGTGGTGGTGTATTGGTTAGAGTGGTCGATGTATGGGTCCAAGATTGGACATATGGTCACGTGACTGATGAAGTGGTCAGTTGCTGGACTGGGAGAGTTCTGGCCTGGAAGGTTTGGTCAGGAGCGGTGTACGTACACGTAGCGCAGTAGGACAGGATGGTCATCTTGCTGACCACAGACTGTCTTTATCTGTCACTGACAAGTTACTGACAACACAATAGGACTTCGTGCCTTACTGTCACCATGTCACTCTGTCGCTGTCACCACAACCACGAGGTCGTGCCTTCAAGTCCCAATTCTCGCCTGACTCATATCTCATGGGAAATGGGAAATGAGTTTCTTCATACACCCCCACCCCCACCCCTGTCTGCAGGAACATTAACTATTTTAATAATCACGACCCCCCCCCCCCACCCCCCACTCCCACCCCCACAGTTTCTCCTCTACCTCCAATAAAACTGGTCGTCACCTTGGCCGGCTATTGTAAATGGCTGGAACCGACCCCCGGGGGAGGGCGTGACTTGAGGAGAGACAGATGTTTGCAGATAATGTCTGTGGACAAAACCCACGTGATCTGTCTGAGTCACGTGATGTTGACCACGCGCGGAGAGCACGAGCGACGTGCAATATAAAATGTGGCGTTATGGTTGCTAAAAAAGTTTCTTTATCAAAAATGATTTGATCATTTGTGGTGTGGGGGAGGGGGGGGGGGTATTCCTAGAAAGGGTGTAGTAAAATGGGGGAGGGTGGTGTGGGAAGATG